TTGTGTGTGTTTGTGTGTGTGTGTATGTTTGTGTGTGTTTGTGTGTGTGCATGTATGTGTGTGTGTGAGAGAGTGTGTGTGTTTCTGTATGTTTGTGTGTATTGCTGTGTTATGCAGTGATTGTGTATTGCAGTGTTATGAAGTGACTGGCAGATTCATAAAATAAACGCAAACTGCTATGCCAATGGCAGAAAAAAAGTCAGAAAAGACAATAATAGCGTAGAGTAGAACAGAATTCTTTAGCTCCTTCTTCATTTGTGCCATCTTGATAATAGTAATTAACAAGTGTTCCTGTTAATTAATCAGGTCACCACAACCCCTTCTTAGGGGAAAACCACACTATTCTCCTGACCAGTTCAGTACACCGCATATCCATTTCTGCTGAATATGACAATCAACTCACAGTCATTTTGCTTATTCTCAGTATGAAAATGACTTTGCTGAGGAACAGGGGAGCATGTGAGGTTTTAGCCTCCCGGCGGGGGGGGGGGGGGTAGAGTTGATTTGTAACTTCTGCCTTATATTACAACATATTACCGAATATACGCTTCAACATTTGACCCGACCTCACTCATGCAGACACGACTTACAGAAGTATTCAATCCGTCATTAACCTTTTAATAAGCACCAGTTGAAACCTTGGGGAAAAAAGAGGTAGAGTTGTACCAAGTTTCTCCAACCTCTTTACTCCGTTGTGGAGGCTATTAGTGTCGAGAATATATTGTTTCTTTAAATAATTTAGGTACCCAGTGCACAGTACTGGAATTTTAAATGTCTGCCACTAAAAATTGATTCGGAGTAAAATGACGATTGGTGTTAATGCAGTTCCTATAATCCACTAACAAAACCATGCTTACTAATCCATAGTCGCAATATCCAGTCATTTTGGTTATATTGGTTACAATTTCCAGTGATTATTCATACCTAATTGCTCCGTATGTAAATGTTGAAACACAAGTTAACAATTATTAAATTACCCTTTTTAAATTTCAGAATAGATGTATGCACATCTATGTATTGTGTTATGCATTCACTTCACTTTTACGGTTGGTCTAAATTTTCTCAGTTCACTTATAATGTCTGTTATTTTCTGGCTATTACGCTTTCGGGAGTTACCGTTTAAAGCACTCTAACACAATCTGGATAAAGAAAGACTATGTTTTAATTATCAAAATACTAAAGCAATATTTACGAATCTGTCTATTATTAACATTACGATATCCTAAATCACCGTAAAATGGTTTTAGAGAGTGTCATCCCGAATATGCGCATGCAGAAGATTTAAAAGTTGAATTTTAATCTATATGAATTAACTGCGGCGCTCCTCTGTAACAGGTCGCTTTCAGTCCTTTAAAGTGGAGATGACGCTCCTCCTCGTCTGTTAGCATTTGTCGCGTGATCCCATCTCATTTTCTTTGATTCTAGGGTCTTGGAGTGCTGCGCATTTGTCAGAAACCTTTAAAATTCATTAAATCCCCGATTTGTTGCGATCCTGTTTTTCTGTCTCTTTCATATGTGCATTTACTTCTGTGCGTGACAAGTTCACTCGTTACGCTAATCGGAGGTAACTTGTACGTTTGCGTGGCTGTTACGTTTTAATTGAAGCTGTGATCCAGCTATTCTAACCAGTGCGAGATGAATAGATGCGTGTGTCTTAATATATTAGTTTGAAAGATGTGCACATTTACTTGTTTTGGAGGAACGGTCTTGCGGATGCTTAGGATCCTCAGGAATGCTGAAAATCATTTGGGTTTCATGCCTTGAGGGAAGTGACTTTGGTGATCAATCTTCTTCCAATCAATCCTTCCACTTGCCTCTGTCTGGCCTCTGTTTTTATGGTGCAGGTGCTATTTATGTTTCTGTGGAGTAAAACTGAGCGCTGAAGACGACAGAGGAGCAGCAGCGTGTTCATGATGCAATTCTGAAATCATGAATCCAATCAACATTTTTAAATACCGCGAGAGCAGACCATTTACATGGATCCTCAACACATGCTTAGACACATGCGTGGGGAGGCGTTCACTACTGTGCATGGTTCACTACTGTGTATTCTGCATTTGCTGTATACTACAAGTCACATGTCCATACGGATGTTACTATGGATACATAGTCCACGATAAATCAATCTTAGCTGTTCTTTAGATAGAAATACTATTTGCTGGTAGCATGACCTCACTTCTGAACAGCATCGTTTGGAATCGGTTTAAAAAAAAACATCGTTTGAACTCACACAAACAAAAGCAATGCATTATTTCCAAAGGATACTTCCACATCAGATATAGTTGTTCTGTTAGATTTATTTTATTGTTTTATTGACCTTCTCTGGAAGGCAGACAGTTATAAACTTGCCTGCAAGTTCCCTTCCTCAGGGATGGGGCAATTTATTAATGTCCAGCAGGAAAACCAAATATGGATGCTTTTTTTCTTCTTAGAACTTTCCAGTCAGCCTCTTTCCTCTGTAAGGTCAGAGCACAGTCCCTCAGCCTGAATGTTACTAGGGTATCTCTTTTTTGTAATGTCTCTGTTTTTGAGGTACCCTGTGCCGCTGACCCTGGCCCCTCCCCATGGACAGAGCAGTAATGGTCTGGGATATATTTAACTTTGTGGGTGTGCAGCCAGCGGTGGCACCGGGTCACTCGGTGTTCGAAACTGTCTGCCTGACTGCCCTCAGCTGCCTCCTAGCACTGCCTTCCCTTGCTGCCCCTGGAGGCACGGGGGTGGGTGGAGTGGGGGGGGGGCATTTGTGTCAGGCATGAAGAGGAATCGTCGTCTCCACTGGCTTTTCCGTGGGAGCCTTCCATGGCTCCGCTGCTATTCCTCACCCCCTTTATGTGCAGAGGCCCTGGCTGGATGAGATAGAGGGCCCAGAAGGGATGAGTGGGCTAACAGAAGCCCCACAGCATTACGCGTCCCCCCCCCCCCGGGTCCTGGAAGGCGAGGGGAGGGAAAGTGTGTCACTATGATGGTTTCACGCAAGTCGGCAACCTCTCCTCCCGATCAGCCATCAACATGCTTCCGCCCGAGCAGATGTGGCCCGCTACACGACCATTCTGGCAAAATCTTTTAATCTGGTTAGAAAGAGCCGGAGAATTACGCGGCATACTGAAAACATCTTCAGCGGGGGAAGGAGCGCTGTGGGTATTAATCAGAGCCTTGTACCCAACAAGCTGCTTATGGTAAACTGTGACGGCATGCATAGATGAAAGCCACACTGATGTGTAAAGTCATATGCCGGGAATGGATCAACTCTCACCTCCATTCCCAGCCCGCGGTTTAGCCTGTGCGCTAGTCTGCCTTTGGCCCAGAACTGGCACAGTCCACAGCAGAATACCCCTTGTAAAGGAACCATTAGCAGTACAAGTTCTTGACATTATTTTGCATTTTCCTGTGCCCCCAATAAATTGCCTGGAGTTCAGGCATGTGGCAAATAAATAGATGATAATGGCAATTCTGTGGGAAGACCTAGATTCTCTCTACTAGAGGCTGATTGGTGATGCTGTCTCCCGCTGGGGGGATACAGGCACTGTATGCCACTGCTATAGGCTACTTATACAGTGGGTAAAATCTTCCTCTGCATCAGCTGTACTGCATAGCCAGTCCTGCACTGAATCTAGTTAAACCCCACTTCTGACAATGAATAGATTAATGTCTGCGAAGATCACAGATCATTTATTCCGGTTTAATAGATTTGGGGAATGATAACAGGGAAAATTATGATAAATGCGGAACAATGGGATGTCAGCCAAAGGCTCCTTCTTCAAGCCTGTAGTAATGTACTGTAGTAGTGTACTGTAGTAGCCCGGCGATGGTGGTACGAGTCTCAGGGGAACAGGAACCTGAAACCTGGGTCCTTCTGCTCACTATAAGTGTGAATCCGCATTTTCCCTCTAACGCTGTCACCATGTTTTTGGAGACACCGAGTGTGAGACTGAGGAAGTTG